AATGAATATGAACGATGCATTTTATGTAACAAGAAATTACGTCTGAATCACGTTTGTGACATTTGAATAAAAATCTCTCTCTTGTCATTTCTATATAAAGTATCTCGTTATAGATAAACAACTGGTGTATGCGTAATGCGTACGGTAATGGATATGGTAATGGGTATGGAAGTATGTTATTGCATTATACTTTTTACATAATACACGACTAAACCGGTGCGAGGCAATGTAGTTATTGACGATCACGCTGTGTTCTTTTGTTAATATTATTATTTATTATTAACAATTATTTTTTTGAGAATCACAGGATTAATATGAACGCATTTTAATAATATTCAATTTGGAAATCAAGTGAGTAGTAGCTGCTTACCTTACCTTAGTAGAAGGTACTTTATCACAATAAATTAGATGTGAAAATTATTGTTATTTTGAATTTTTGTGTTTTTATTTTTAGACATATTGTATTCTACGGATAGGCTAACCTATATAAAATAAAAACCGGACACTTGTTTCCCGGATATTTTCGGAGAACGCCATAACTGTGCATAATGCCATAACATATTACGCATACATAAAATTATTTCGCATAACCAATAACGTCTTGACCATGTAGTTGGTCACCATTTGACTATTATAATAGGTAGCCTATACCACATGCTATCACCGAGAAAACGAACATTGCAAGCGTGTCAGTTATTTGTCACTCAAGCCATAATAGTAATTACCTATCTATAATACTATATTACCTACTGACACGATGGCCAATATTTCGTCTTTTGTGTTGTTTCCCGCAACCATACAATAGATCCCGATTGCCCAGACTTGATTGAAAAACGTTATTTATTTTCATTTTTAGACGTGCGTCGTTTCCTACACAATATTATTATTATCATTATTACTATGTTGTTAGTAGTTAGTATTCGTGTTTGTCTTTTATTTCTCTTTTTACTTACCTACACCTTTGTGCGTACAACTCTACGAATACCGACATACCAAACGGTACAGTTACAATATAATATAGTATAAAATACCCATAATTCTCACGATATAATGCATACGATGTGATCCATTTAACGTAAGACACTTATTCAAACAATAAAGTTTTCGAAAGTATTTCATTTACATAATTTTGAGTCATTATAAAACAATATTTTTTGAAAAAACGGTATTTTTTATCGTTATAACTATTTAAGTTATTTACTGTTTTGAATGACAATACCTACATACATTTCTAATTTCATATTCCTAAGCAGAATATTATTCGGAATATTTTGATCTATAAAAATCAAGTTTCTAACAATTAGTTTATTAGTTAAAGTAGATAGGTATAACTGTATAAGGTATTTAAAAGTTAAGCTAGTCTAGAAGTGAATAAACATTTTGCCGAGTAACCATTCCTTTCAACTAAACTTTAAATATATTGAGTTATTAACTCATAAACTGCTCGTTAAAAATTTAATTTTACCCATCGAAGTAGGTACCTAGGTACTCTAAGAAATATTCAGATTTTGAATAACGGATTAAAAATGTATGTTGTGATTAAAAAAAAGTAAAAAGACTTTAAAAACAATAGAAGAAAATATATTAGTTTTTTTAAATGTTGTTTTTTGGTGACTTAAAGTTATGTAAACAAAAAAAAATTCAAAAACTTTAATAGTTTTCGAAATAATGCGTGTCTTACGTTAAATAGATCATCGGTTTAATAATATTCTTCAAGTCCGAGGACACTGACCTTGAATGTAGGTATTTATTTATTTTCAAAGATAAGGACGTTGTCGTGCTACTGATCTCGAAACAGCAAGGTCGCCGCATTCCCAATTTAATAATATTATTTAACATGACACCCACAACGGAACAACCGTTAAGCTTGACCGGGGGCAGTGCAGGTATACACATAAGAATATCTGAACGTTCAAACACACCGGATAATGATAGTCGAGATTCCTTGTCAACATAGGATATATCAGCTATTCTATATTATTATTTAATGCTATTATTATACGCAATACATTCGTACGAACTTAGGGAAATTAATAAATTTAAAACAAGTGATAATAATAATTAAACGCGGAAAGCGAAACGTACCTATTTGTGTTTGATTTTGAAATGAAAATGAAATGATATATTTTTAACATTAGTGAATTCCATAAAAATATATTATATGGTGTTTATCACAAGATGATTTCACTTTTGATCCGGAAGTACACAATTTAAAACTGGTAATGAAACGAAGGACCGCAGAATTTAAAGGGAAAACACAATACAATTGGTGAGTTTTAAAAACACTACAGATTCAAATGACAACAATAAGACTCAAATTAGAAAGTACATATTTTTTTTTAATTATTACGAAATATCAAAAACAGACATAATTCTATTATGTATTTAGATAATATTTGTTTGGATTATTTTAATTTCATAATAAATTACATTTTTACTCATATTCAAATGATAATTTTAATAAACACCAATTATACTATTCATTTAAAATAGAGTCAGATATCAAATGACATCCTTAACAAGAAATAAAAATAAAAATGTGATAATATGTAGGTAATCAAAAACCAGGGTAACGTGGATAATAACGTATGAATAATTGACGACTTTACGACACATATTATTCGCCACATGATTTTGATTACATTAAATTTATATTTTTTGATTGACTAGTATTGATTATTTATCATGATTATAAAATGTTTTAATATTGCTCAAACAGAAATGATAAGCATTGTTGTGTGTGTCGTATGTATACTACAGACGTCAGACAGTAACCCACACTGTAAAGTATTTGATGAAATAATTACAATCGGTTACGCACTGCAATAACACCATTTGGCCTCGAAAAACATTCTTCTCACAAAAAAATTTAAAATCTCATTGTATCGGACTCAAACGATTAAAAATTTTAAATGATTACTATTAATCATAGACATATAAATACATATTATTATTATTAATAATTATTAATATGTCTATAGTCTATGCTATTAATGAACAAGCACACATAATAATCTTTTATAATAATTTGAAAATATCGATCGTGCTTAGTAGTCTGACATATTCAGCTTTCTCCGCTGAATGGAAACCACTTTAAATATCATAATAATTATGTAAACAATCACTAATTTTTCTATATACCTACTAGGTTTTTTGTATCTATTCTACATTAGTATTGTTGTCGCCTTATTATTCCGGTTCATTTTATCTACATTAATTTTGTGTAGGTACATTGTATTATATAAATCGACCACATTCGTGTACAGAATGATCGTGACCACCGGAATAAGGTCGGTTAATTGATGCGCTAACAAGAGATGGTCATCAATAAGCCCAGGTGAAAGTGTGGTGGACCACTAATGGCAAATGACATTATATAGTGGTGTGCTATTGAAAATTTGAATCCAAAAACAACACTTATACAACAGTGTCAACAGTGTGTCATCGTTTAATTTTCAATTTGGACACATAATATTTATGTTTCGATTTTTTCCCATCATAACAGCGTGCAATATAATTATTTCTATATTTGATTTTTTTAAATAACGACTAATGTGATTTATAATACTTGATGTGAAATATATACTTATATAATAATATGTGAGTTAAAGTAAAATATCCTACTTGCTGATACCGGTAATGTTAGGACATTAGGTACACATTTATATTTGTATGTAAATTTAAATATATCAGATATAAAGAAATTTAAAAATCTAGATCGAAGTGAAGTTCAGTTTCAAATATATTGAGAATTGTAGGTAAGTAACAAGTAAATAAAGGCCTTACTTATAGTAAAGGGGATAAACTATAAAGTGATATTTGCCTATGACACATAACATGTCCGATATTTAATGTATTTTATTATAATAAGCTAATAGCGTATTAAAATTGTTTTTCTTGTATATAGGTACTATAATATGCACACGAATTTTCACTTTTTGTTACTCAAAATGTATGTTCAAAAGAATTTATTAGATAATATACTTTCGTAATATCATTAAAATATTTTAATAATACCTATATTAACTACCTTACATTTTTTTATATTTCTATATATTAGATCAGAGTATGTAATTTTTTCACAAAAAGAACTTTTATTAATCTCTGTTTATCTATTTCACTTATTAACAAATAATAACACTTTATTTAATAAGTATAAATTAATGCTATTTGCATTGAAATGTTTTTATTCTGGGTAATCAATAATGTATAACCAGTATATTATTTCTGTGATATGAAAAGTTTAATTAATTTTTTTAATTCCTTATTTCTATCTAAGTAGCTAGCTAGATACCTAGTACCTACCTACAATCTACATGTCACTTAACATATTTTTAAATGTTATCGGGAGCGCTTATTTCTAACTAAAATAAAAAGTCGAATCATTTATTTATAGCATAATGTTCAAAGAAGCGTTGGAAATATTTTCCTGAATTAATTCTTATGGAATTTAAATTGATGGTCAGAGATATTTTAATGTGGCAACCACGTACACCCCATTAACATAACAATTTGTGATCATTTAAGCGTGCAAATCTATTCGTATCGTTAACCAGAACGACATATTTATCTTTTTATAATAGTGGAAGCGTCATAATTAACTATGGAATTTTGTTAGAATCATCGGAGTGTATATAGGTAACAACCAAATCTGACATTAAACTGCGGATTTGCCTTACAGTCAAATTTTAATTCTTACCTCTATTACTCTCCCTATCATGTTAATCCACAAAGACTTGATTTTCTGCCATATCTGTTTAATCACCTTAACCTACTTATAGACCTAACTATCCAAGTATAATATTTACTATAATGACCATTTGGACAATAGGATAACTATATATGGTCTTGGGTTTTATTTCCTCACGAAAAACCATTATATTGGATAAACTATCAAGACCCTAACAGTTTCCTATTTATTCTAAACAAATAATAATATTCTAAAATAAATAAAAATTCTTAAATTATACTAAACGTAGTTGTTGGTAATAGTTTTATACCTGGGGAAAAGCCGATCACAATTCAATCTCCTCCATCCATGTGCCGATTCCTTGATCAGATGCTCCAGTGCTCTCTCGACGGGAAATTCTCCCATCATTAAACGTAAACCCAAGCTGAAAAATAAACATTGCAAAGTGAGTAAAAAATAGAGCTCATAATATAAGAAATTTAATATTAAAAATAATTCTAGAATCAATATAATATATTATTAAGACATCATACCACGTAAAGTATAATGAGATTATTTCGTTAAAATAGGTGATATTTTAACTGAAAATAAAAAATTTAATGAATATAAAATATTCCAAGTGTTTTTTCAACAATTTAAAAAACGTTTTGCCTTTACTATTTTGTCCTCATGAAATTTGTAATTTTGATAATTTATCAATTACAATCATTTTTACAGTGCTTTTTTTGTTTAACACGCTCCAATAAATTTAATTTTGATTGGAATCATTTTCCTAGTACAACAGTATAGTCTCTTTTAAACTCAATATCCAAACATGGTATTTATTCACCACAAAAATAATATGATCTACTCAATTAAAATTAAAATAATAGATAGTATGCTTTTGATTTGCCTACAAAGTGGTTAATGCTATATCGATGAATCATACTTTATTTTATATCCGTTTTGAGAAGTATATACTATATTATATTATAAAATAAAATAGATTGCACTTGGACAACAGACACAATGTGTTTACAAATATCAACGGTTAAGAACTGTTTTCCATCACAGCAAAGTTCGACGATGGTCTAATAATACCATTATTGATTATAACAGTATTATTTAATGGTTCGCCAACTGGAATATGTATCTAAATTCTAAATCAATAATTTACACTGTTCACATTGAATGATTACATATAATAGATATAGTAGCTACATAGGTACAGTCTCAACATTATATACGACACGATTTATGCTGACGCCTTCTCTGACTGTTTCGATTGTATTGTTATTTTTCTGTCATAAAATGTTAATATGGCGTATTATATTATTATTATCCATAAGTCGTAACCAATAATAAATTTAACTAAGCTACTTCCGGTCATTACATTATACTTCGTCAACGCTAACAATATTTACAAAAATCTACGTTTTGTCACCGTGTACCCCCCTCCATTCACCAACTGAGAATAATATTATTTACGCAACAATAATATGCGTCCCTGACTAACGATTTATCTACGTTTATTTAACCATACGTAGAAAAATAATAATTTACTGTCGATCGCCTATTGCCCCAGGTATTATTTTTCTATAATTCTATAATATAATGGAGGAACCCAACTATACTAAATGCCACATTTTGAATATTGCAAAGTCTAATTTTAATTTTATTATTCTATTTTTTATTATTGGTACTTATTATTATTAAGTATATTGCAGTAAAAATAGTAATAATTTATACTGACATCAAAAAACTGTATATATAACAACCCAATAATCATTATTTATTAGTTTATTTATTTAAATAGCCCCCTTTAAGCCCCCCTGTGTGGGTTCAAGTACAGCACATAATAATATATTATATTCTTAGTTGAAAAATTGTTTTGAATTATATTATTAAATAGTTTAAGATTGGACCATGAAAAATAGTGGCTTAATATATGGCTGTGGCCAGAAACTTGATGGCTGATTCATTTACATTTGTATACGCGATGCACGATTTTTATAGAAATTTGATTTATATCACGCAAAATTTGATTTTAATTTTAATCGTTATCAGTAAAAATTTTTTGTTGCGTTAAGCATTATTTGTTAAACCCTAATATTAAAAGTAGAAGTAACCTAATATTTACCCCAATCCTTTAATTATTTATATAAATATAATATTTTACAAGCCTATAGATAGGTACTATAGGTACATATTTGTTTTCGAATCAACTACAATTAGTATTGATATAAATATATAACCTCTTCGATTTATTTAAAATTTTAAAATTATGTTATTTATCATTATATATTTAAAAAAATTATAGTCATTAGTGGTAATTTTTTTAATATTTAGTAAATATTTTGCTATTTTTATGTAATATTTTAACATTTTTTTCAAAGATTTTTAGGTCATCAAGTTCCTAATTATGATATTTGTACCACGAAAATAAGTTGACCTTTTTAAATGTTTAAAATGAGCCTATAATAATATTATGATGGTAATATAATGTGTTTTGAATATACATAAATTCTTTAAATTTGTCCGGTGGCCCATTGAAAATTATCACGCCGGTTGTTTAAACATGAATAGACCCAACACTAAATATTTTTTGTCCACACACAAATTGCACTGCAAGCGTTTACAACGTGAGTACCTATCCAAATAGGCACAAAGATAATAACAATAATATTAATATGATAACGCGACATTTACTACATCATTATATACGATAATATAGCACAAAATTATGTGCATCAACGTCGATGGTCGCGTGCATAATTGACCGCCGTATAGTCACGGCCCAGCCTCTCATCTTCGTTAAATGTGCGGCGAAAATTTTCCAATCGTAAAAAAAAAATCGTCCGGCCATTGTTTGCGCTCCGTTTGGCTGCGGTCCATTAGAGCAGTCTTATATATATTATAATATTATGTCAAAGCGGCGGGTTCGGAAAGTAAATCTACGTCCATATGGTCATGGTATACGGTATGGGCAATATACAGGGTGATCCGTTTAAACTGCTAATTTTCTCTGTTGTGATTTTAAATTTAAAAAAACCGAAAACAGTTCATATTATAATATAATAGGCTGATGGGCAACATATAGAACGATGTATAGTGAAGTATATTAATTAATAAGTTTATGACTAGTTATAACCATGGTACATTGTATTAAAAAAATCAAATTATTTTTTATAACCAAGTTAGCTTATACGAGCGGAGTTCACATTACAAGTCACGCGCATGGTCTCGCTGGTCATTTCACTTTGAACTTCAAAAGTTAGTCAATCAAATATTATTCGGTAAATAATCGATATCAAAATTGATACATCGACTCTGCAATAGTAGGTACCTGTAACAGTTTAAAACAACTAAAAACTAAGACAAAAATTTTTATTTTTTTACGATAACACGACGTTGCGAAAGTGCTTTGCATTAAGTATATAAAAATATTTTTAAATATTTTCCCTGTCGACTGAGAAAAATGAATGCAGCGGCTAAGGTACAAATTATCCCACGCTATATTTGCCCAACTTACAGCATAATGGGTACTGTTTCGAAAGCGAAAAACAAATGATAACATAATAATAATATTATAAACAACTCGATATGAGTTTTCTTTTACTATCATAAACTATTATTGTCGTTATCCTTTTTTTCTTCATTTTTTGCATGATTTTGGCACCCACTTTAATGTTCATGTACCTGTAATACTGCTGCAGTGGTACTCATCATTGGCGCCACAGAACAGTGACGTTGCGATAACGGTGAGCGTATAATATTATAAGAAACACTGAGAGCAGTTCTCAGTTATTTTCACGTGAAAAATTATCCTAGATCACTATGTTGTAGGTGCAGGTTCTGTATCAATATTTTTGGCATAAAAACAACTTTTTGGGATGGTTCATGATGGCGTAGAACATTGTTTTGCTTCCGACATCCCACAAACACTTCTTGCTCTTTGAATATTCGTTTCAGTAAAAAAAAAAAACAAAACAGGATCAATCGTTTTCATGATAAATTTGTGTTTCTTATGGAGATGTTTCATGGTATAAATCCTAAATGGATACGTCTTATCGTAAACACGAAATATCGCAACAAACACAAACTGTTGCTTTTCACATAAAACAACCTGCTTAAAATATAGTGTATTCAAAATACAAAGAGTATGCCGACAAAATCAAGTTTCGAATTTTTTAAGTACCGATTTATACTAATTATTTTGATGATATTATGTAGATAGGTGTATTAAATATGAAGTGAAATTATATTTTATCGAATTGCCGGCGATATTGACCAGTTGTTGTTGAAGTATAAGTATAAATAAGTAGTCGTCAATCGTCGTTCTACTTTCTTTCGGAATATATTTATAGTTAAAGAAATAATTTTGATCCCCCTTTCATTATTTATTTGTAAATGGTAATCGACCCGGTATACCGAGACTGTATACAGAAACTCAAAAATTTGATATTAGTATCATAAATTAAATTAAAAAAAAAAATTAATCTAAGTTAATATTTTCATTCAATTATTATTGTAAGTTATGGGTTATTATTAGTAAAATGTTTTGTCAGATGGCACTGCTAGAAGCCTTCCTACTCTACAATTAATGTTCCTATGTCAAATGTTATTTTATGTCACCACAAATACAAATAATTTATGACCCAATTTTTCACCTAACTCACTAGTTTTTCACGAAGTTCATACCAAACAAAAAATCTCGATGATTCAGTTAACTGAATGTTTACATCAAATTTGTAATTAATATAAATTATGAAATATGAAACTAACATAATATTATGTATATTGTATAAGTAATGGATAATATACAGTCTTGTGGTATAGACGGTATAGTATATAATAATATACAAGTATATTATTATGTAGGCTTATTGTTTTTTTTTGTTTTACTTAAATCTATTCCTTATAAACTAAATAATTTTATAATATAAATCTACATCGCTATATCATGTAATTTAATTGTTTTATTATTTTGACCAGAATTTATACAATTATTAAAATTATTGGTGCTTTCAATGAAATAGTAAAATTATTCTAAAGTTGGTAAATTTTAATATTTAAAAAAAATGAAATGGTAAAGATATATATAGATACTACGAATTAAAATATTTCACATAAAAATGAGTTAATTAATAACTGCAGTGAGTGTTGGGAATGATCTAGTTCAATAAGAAACGGATACCTAGTTACTTTTTTTTAGAAATAAAGCTTAGAACTTTCTTTTAAAACTAAAGAACGAGTGAACTAATAATTAAGTTTTAATTTTTAGATTGATCAAGCAAATGTTGCCATATTATTATAAAAATTAAAATTGAACTAAAGAATTCATAAAGATAAATCACTGACCAAAGATATTAGAATAATATGCATAAAATTAGAAAACTAAATTTTTAGGACTTTCGATCAATATTGTAATATTTAAATTGGACA